CGGCACAACATTGTACGCGCTATGAACAGTGCAAGCAGAAAGGACGAGCTCGCAAAGGAACCCAAGATGGAAGCTTTGCAGTTCGGTTGAGTTGATTGCGCAGATTCAGTTCTATCCAACTCGAAATTGTACTGTTTTGTTTGGTTAACTATAGTGTAGCAGGGAAGGCACTATAGGGGTACAATTTAGGTGAAGGTTGGATGTTGTTTGTCTGTATCTGCATGCTACAAGGCCAGGGGAAACCAGCGGAACCAGCATTTGGCTGGTTGGGCAAAGACAAAACAGGTTCTGTTTTTAGAACCTGAACCTGGTTGTTGTTTTCCCAGGTTGGAAAAACAGAACCAGAGGTTGTTTACCAACCTACCACCTGCTATTTTGTCCAGCCAGGTTGGTTCTGTTGATTGGAATTATTTGGGATCATCCCTGGTTGTTCCCAGGTTGATTCCCAAGGTCCTTGCTAGCTAGAACTATTTAATCCTTCTCTGTTTGTACCTGAACATAGTAAAATTGATTCAAGCGAATTCCTTCCTCGCTGGAATTTCGTTTCTGCGCTATTCGACGGCGGAATGCTACCCGAGTCAATGCTAGTATGCTAGCACTCCAACGCTAGGCAAACGCTGTCCGAGCCATAACTTAGTAATGGCAGAACTTTTCGCGAGGCAACTTGGCTCATTTTAAAGCTCTTGGAGCGAGCTTCGATATAGCGAATTCTCAGCTTAATCCGACCGACGGTCTGCACGGCACGCTGCGCGACGTTCAAGGTACTCTTGCTGTTTTGACTAAGTCCTTCTTGATCCCTCTCTCTACAAACTCGGACCCGAGGATAGGGGCTGGTCTTGTACCAGGCACCCAGGGACCCTTGGAGGTGACCCCGAGGAGAGGTTTTAAGTTTGATTAAGTCCTAATAGCTTGAGTTTATTAGGCCCTTACACCAACATTTATGCAGAAGGAGAAGCGGGACTTCAATGAGATCTTTGCTCCCACTGCCAAACCCCCTACCCTTCGTGTCTTGTTGGCAGATGCAGCCGTTAGTGGGAAATTCATTATCCAGATGGATATATCAACGGCATTCCTCAACGGGATTTTAGAGGAGGAGGTGTTCATGACGCAGCCGCCTGGGTATGAGGATGGTACGGGCAGGGTGTGCAAGCTGAAAAAATCCATCTACGGCTTGAAGCAGGCGCCACACTGCTGGTACCAGAAGTTGGCAGCTGTTTTAGAGGAGATAGGGTTCAGGACCAGCAGCTGTGATGAGAGCCTCTTTCTCAAGGGGGAGGGGGAGGAGCTGGTGATGTTTCTGGTCTACGTGGACGACATTCTTCTCTTCAGCAGCAGCATGAAGGAGATCCAGAAAGTGCAGCAGCAGCTGATGGAAAACTTCAAGTGCAAGAACCTTGGGGAGGTAAAGTACTACCTCGGGATGCACGTGGAGAGGGATCTGGATCACAGGTGGTTGAAGCTGCACCAGGAGAAGTTCATCAAGGAGCTGGGGGAGAAGTGTGGGATTGAGAATGAGCGCAAGGTTGCAACTCCCCTGCCAGCAGAATTCAAGCTTGTGAAGGCTGCAGAGGATGAAGGGGTTGAAGCTGAAGAGCAGCAGCAATTTCAGTCCTTGGTGGGCAGCCTCTTGTATGCAGCTGTTCACACGAGGCCCGACATCTCTTTCTCGGTTGGGCAGCCAGCCAGGGTGGTGCAGAATGCATCAGAGGAGCAGGTGGATGCAGCTGAGCGCGTGGTGAAGTATTTGAACTCTCACCCAACCATTGGGGTCCAATACTCCGCATCTGCACAGGTGAAGCAGAAGGGGGTTGAGGTGCTGAAGGAGAAGGGGGAGCGGCTTGGAGAAGGCAAGCTGTTTCTGACTTGCTTTACCGATGCTACATGGGCTTCTGAGAAGGAGGATTCCTCATCTGTGGGAGGATACATCTGCGTAGTTGGGGGAGGACCTGTTAGTTGGAGGTCCAAGAAGCAGACGGAGATGGCACTCTCTTCTGTGGAATCAGAGTACATGGCGATGTTCCACGGGGTGAAGGAGGTGATTTGGCTGAGGAGGCTGTTAGAGGAGATTGGCCAGGAGCAGAAGGTTGCTACGCCGCTGTTTTGTGACAGCAAGGGGGCTCTTGGGATGGCCAGGAACGCTGTGCTTCATGGGCTGAACAAGCACATGCGTATCAAGTGGCACTGGCTGCGTAAGGAGGTGAAGAGGGGGACGGTGAATCCGATTTACATCAAGACTCACCAGCAGCCAGCAGACTTTCTCACCAAGAGGCTTGCGGATGAGCCTCATTGGCGTTGTGTGCGCATGAGTGGAATGAGCATGAACTAGCATGGAATGATGGGGATGCAGCCGGCAGGCTGAGGGGAAGTGTGTTGGGTGCAAATTCGCATTGCACGACATCCTGCCGTCTGTTTGTACGAGTATGCGTGTGCGAGTGCATTTGCGTGCGAATGGTGTGTTCGTGTGTTTGTTTGTTTTCGCTATTTTCGCTTGAAGCATTTGCAGGTATTCGCGCAATGTGCGCTTCGGCACAATATTGTACGCGCTATGAACAGTGCAAGCAGAAAGGACGAGCTCGCAAAGGAACCCAAGATGGAAGCTTTGCAGTTCGGTTGAGTTGATTGCGCAGATTCAGTTCTATCCAACTCAAAATTGTACTGTTATGTTTGGTTGACTATAGTGTAGCAGGGCAGGCACTATAGGGGTACAATTTAGGTGAAGGTTGGATGTTGTTTGTCTGTATCTGCATGCTACAAGGCCAGGGGAAACCAGCAGAACCAGCATTTGGCTGGTTGGGCAAAGACAAAACAGGTTCTGTTTTTAGAACCTGAACCTGGTTGTTGTTTTCCCAGGTTGGAAAAACAGAACCAGAGGTTGTTTTCCAACCTACCACCTGCTGTTTTGTCCAGCCAGGTTGGTTCTGTTGCTTGGAATTATTTGGGATCATCCCTGGTTGTTCCCAGGTTGATTCCCAAGGTCCTTGCTAGCTAGAACTATTTAATCCTTCTCTGTTTGTACCTGAACATAGTCAATTGATTCATGCGAATTCCTTCCTCGCTGGAATTTCGTTTCTACGCGGTTCGATGGCGGAATGCTACCCGAGTCAACGCTAGTACGCTAGCACTCCAACGCTAGGCAAACGCTGTCCGAGCCATAACTTCGTAATGGCAGAACTTTTCGCGAGGCAACTTGGCTTATTTTAAAGCTCTTGGAGAGAGCTTCGATATAGCAAATTCTCAGCTTAATCCGATCGAGGGTATGCACGGCACGCTGCGCTACGTTCAAGGTACTCTTGCTGTTTTGACTAAGTCTCTCTTGATCCCTCTCTCTACAAACTCGGACCCGAAGATAGGGGCTGGTCTTGTACCAGGCACCCAGGGACCCTTGGAGGTGACCCCGAGGAGAGGTTTTAAGTTTGATTAAGTCCTAATAGCTTGAGTTTATTAGGCCCTTACACCAACAGTTAGGACGAGTGCATGTCATCAGGCACATGAGGCAGCCTACTAGCTCTGGATATGGGGCACTAGGCTCTACGGACTCATTCGAAGGTGGAGCTGAGAGCTAGTGACCGGTAGCCAGAGGAGTGGACTGTGGTGAGGACCAGGTGAAGCCGAAGCGCTGAAGGACCTGGTGCACCATGTGTGACTGAGTCAGGGTGATGGTGCGCCGTGCTCTGTCCCGAGTGATCTGCAAGCCAAGATAGCTGCGCAGCTCACCCAGGTCTGTGCACGTGCGTCTCTTCTGCAGCTCTGACTTCACAAGGGCGAGTGCCTCAGTGTCAGCAATGGGAAACATCAAGTCGACGACATACACGAGGATGTAGAATGGCAGCAGCGTAGTGTCGGTGCGGAGAAACAACGACGGGTCTGCAGTCGAAGGAGCAAACCCAAGTGCTACAAGTGTCATCCTCAGTGTGTCGTGCCACTTAGAGGCGCCTGGAAGAGACCGTAGACTGGCTGTCGGAGGCTCTACTGGGTACCTGCAGGAATCGATCTAGTGAAGCCAGGTGTGCGGGGCAGCCAGATCTCCTCGTGCTGGCTGCCCTGCAAGAAGGCTGTGCTGAAGTCAAGAGAGTGAAGCTCGTAGTCACGCTGAGCGGCAACATGCAGCAGCACCCAAAGAGTGGTCATCTTTGGGGTAGGGGAGAAGGTCTGGAAGAAGTCAACTCCCTCACGCTGACTGAAGCCTCTAGCAATGTAACGAGCCTTGAAGACAGGCGGAGAACCCGGCGGCCGCTTCACCCTGAAAATCCACATGCCATCGACAATGTTCGCCCCAGGAGGGGGAACCTCATCGACGTAAGTGCCTGTGGACTTCCAGGATGCCATCTCTGCGTCCATGGCTGTCTGCCACTGAGAGGAGTACTCACCCGCGATCGCCTCAGCGTAAGAGCACGGGGTCGGGATGTCTGGTGCATCTGGGTCTCCCTCAGGGGCAAGCAGCATGGCCACAAGATGAGGCGCAGCGGCTGCAAGACACTCAAGGTCCTCGTGCCTGTCCTCAAGGACGTCCGTGCCAAGAGCACACTCACCCCCAACGGACGGAGGACAGACAGACTCAGACTCAGCAACAAGACTAGTGGCGTAGTCGAGACGACAAGCAGCAGCAAAGTCAACAAGCTCAGCGACTAAAGCAGACGAGGCAGCGGACTCAAACAAAGGGTCAGACAACAGTGGCTAAGAGACGTGTCACAGTAGGACTAGGAACACGAACCAGGTCAGACTCAGGGTCCGGAACGTTTGAAAGCGAGGACGCAGGAGGAGACGGCAGGGGAACACGCTGTGGAACAGAAGGAGGACGAAGTGTCATAGTGTGAATGCCAGGGACAGGAGGAGGACGCTGACGAGGAACACGACGACCAGTGTGGACAGCGCGAACAGGCGTTACAGGACAAGACGCAGGTTCACGACACTCTGTAAGCGAGTCGGTCTGCTCAGTGTAAGGAGAGGGAGCAGAGAGTGGGGAGCCTGGCTGTAACGGAAGACCAATGGAAGACGGGAGACTAAGAACCTGGCGAAGCACAGAGTCAGGCGGCAGCAGAGACGACGTTGATGGCGAAGTGAAGAACAGTCGCGGCTGTGCAATACCACCAGCACCAGCTCCTCCAGCACCAGCACCTCCAGATCTAGTTCCAGCAGCTCCAGGGCCTCCAGCAGCTCCAGTACCTCCAGCACCAGTACCTCCAGCTCCAGGGCCTCCAGCTCCCGGGTCACCAGCTCCAGTGCCTATAGCTCTAGTGCCTCTTGCTCCTGAGTCCGCAGCACCACCAGCTCCGGCCGCTCCAGTACCTCCAGCTCCTGCGTCTCCAGCCGTAGTGCCTCCAGCCCCCGCAGCGCCACTCTGAAGGCGGCAGCGCTGAGCGTACCACTCGCGTAGCTGCTGCGGCGATTGAGTACCTCCAGAACCTCCAGTACGAGCACCTCCAGGACTAGTAGTGTCAGCACCACCAGCACCACCAGTACCACCAGCACCACCAGCCCCGGCAGCTCCAGTACCTCCAGTACGAGCACCTCCAAGACTAGCAGCTCCAGCTCCTCCGGTACCTCCAGTACCAGCAGTACCTCCAGCACCTCCAGGACTGTCAGCTCCAAGGCCTCCCTCTCCAGCAGCAGCACTCCGAAGGCGGAGCTGTTGAATGTACCATTCGCACAGCTGCTGCGATGAGAGAGGCTCCCGTAGTAGAGAAGCAGTACCCCTAGGCGCAGCACCCCCAGACTCAGTACCCCCAGGCTCAGCACCCCCAGGCTTAGCATCCCTAGGCTCCGCACCCTCAGGCTCAGCACCCCCAGGCTCAGCACCCCTAGGCTCCGCACACTATGGCTCAGCACCCCCAGGCTCCGCACACTATGGCTCAGCACTCCCAGGCTCCGCACGCTCAAGCTAACCACCCCCAGGCTCCGCACCCGCAGGCTCAGCACCCCCAGGCTCCGCACGCTCAGGCTCAGCACCCCCAGGCTCAGCACCTCCAGACGCAGCACCAGAGTCACCAGTGACCTCGACAGGCTCAACCAAGGGGAGTGCGTCTATCTGACACACCTGAAGGAGCAGGACCCTGAGGGGGGAGGGGATTTACCGGAGGAGGACCTGGAGCAAGGAAGAGCGGCGGGGGGGGGGGGGGGGGGTGGGGAGAGGGGCAGTGCGGTAGGGGAAGAGGCGGTTAAACGAAACCGAGTCGTCAAACGTGACGTCCTGAGAGGACAGAACACGGCGCGAGGTGGGGTGGTAAAACTGCCAGCTAGGCGCGTCAGGGGGGAAGCCAAGGAAGACACAGGGAATGGCGTGGAAGGAGAGCTTGTCCGCGGAGGTATCGCGGACAAAGGCACGAGCGCCCCAGACCCGGAACACCGACGCATCGCCAACCTTCCCAACGCATTGTGGGCGAGGTCTCCGGAAAGGAGACACGAGGCCAGAGGTTGAGCTGATGCGCAGCGTACCGGACCGCAAACGGCCACAGAAAATGGGGAGTAGCCGCATGGATCATGGAGGTACGAGCGACCTCCATGACTAAGCCAATGCAGCGCTCAGCAACCCCATTCTGCTGCGGAGAGGCCGGAAGCGTGAATGACTGGAGGATGCCCTCCCCCTACAGAAGCCCCGCAAGAGGTCGGAGGAGAACTCACCTGCATGTTAGAGTGCAGCTCGCGGAGCTGGAGACGGACAGCGCGGATCCAAGGGATCAAGACATCAGAGACCTCCCCCTTGCTGCGCAAGAGGAAGACCGTGGTGTAACGCGTGTAGTCGTCGACAACCAGCAGAAAACATCGCTCACCGCCCTTTTCACGGACGCGGCTTGGGCTTCATTCGTCCATGTGGAGAGTCTGCAGGGGAGCCTCTGTCGGAGGGAACGAGGAGGAGTGAGGAGCGGCGCGCTACCGCCCCTCGATGCAGGGAAGACAGGCGGGGCAGGCGAGCGCGGGAAGGGGGGCAGAGACCTGGGAAGACCAGAGACCAGGGAGCAAGACTGCATGTCACGAAGGCGTGGCAGGGAGGGTTGACCAAGGCGGTGGTGCCAGAGGAGAGTCTGGTGCGAAAGGTGGTGACACGAGCAAGGGGTGGCTTCCTGACCCGATGCGGACACCTGAGGAGGGACAGTAGTCAGTGTGTACAGACTCGACCCTGGCCGACGTCTTAACGTGGCCAGATGACGGCCAGTCTGGGAGCACGTAAAGATCGCCACACGCTGCCCTCCACGGGTAAATGTATCAACCAACGCATCCTGGAGGACAGCGGTACTCACCAAGTTCGTCGAGAACAAGGGGAGGTGGAGACCTGACAGCGAGCCGGACGGAACCGCCGGACACGGGAGAACAGTGGTGGAACGTGCAAGAACTGGGCCCCCTGAGGGGTCAGCCAGAGAGACTGCAACAGGTGCAGGGAGTGGTGTGAGTGCGGTACTGTTATGAAAGAAGCAGCGAGAAGCACCTGAGTCAAACGTGAAGGTGTGCAAGGCCTCAGCAGGCACAGTACCAGAGAGAGCAGACTCACTAGCACCTAGAGCAGCAGCCGCTATACCTGGGTCGGGCGGCACACACAGGTAACAGTCACCCTCAGCACTAACAGTCAATGCATACATGGCAGCAAGAATAGCATCAAAGTCAAGAGTAAAAATATCCACATCGCGCCTAAGCAAGCCTGCCCAGCGGGGGGGCTCAGGTGCGTCAAGAAACTGTGTGCGCCAGACGTCGTCAAGATGGGAGAAGCAGCGGTACTCGGTGTGAAACTTCCCGCATATTTGAATAGTGCAGTCACCTGTGCGAATGATATACGGGCAGCAACCAGCACTCCCAGACGCCCCACGCTGAGCATACCACTCAAGAAGCTGCTGGGGCGTAAGGGTCTCGCGCGGACGCTGCTGCTGCTGCCTCTGGCCACCACCAGAGCCTCCCCATTAAAAGGCTCCATCCTGACCGCCACCACTGCCGCCACCACCGCTCCCACTGCCGTCACCACCGCCGCTGCTGCCTCTGCCGCTACCGCTCCCACTACCGCCACCTCCGACGCCTCCACTCCCACTACTACCGCGGCCGCCGCCACCGATGCCTCCACTCCCGCCACCACTCCCACTGCCACCTCCGCCACCTCCACCACCCCCGCCGCCTCCACCACCGTCCCCCCCCCCCCCCCCCCCCCCCCCCCCCCCGCCACCACCACCCCTGCCCTTGCCGCTGCGACGCTTCCCACTAGGAGCAGAAGCAGCGCCGACCTCCTCAGCACCAAGGAAGTCAACAGCAGCAGCAGAAGCGTTGGAGGGGGTAAAGGGGGAGGGGGAACACCCCTCAAAGAGGGGAGTGCAAGGAGTGCCTCAAGCAGCACCTATAGTGTGATGTACATCGCGGACGAATTCGCTTCTAAGAACTCGGCTGGGAGAGCGGCGCGGTAGCGAACGTCACTAGCGCGAAGGAGTGGGAGATGAGGTCCTCAACGCTGGCAAAGGAGGACAGCTCCGGGAACAGATAGGGCAGGATAAGGCGGTTGAGAGCAGCAATGGCAGGAAAAGAGTTGCGAGCGACTACAGCGGTGTACAGGTCCTTAGCGGACTTGTGCTGGCCGAAGTGAGCACGTTCATTTAACGGCAGATGGTTACGAATAGCTAGGCGAGCAGCAGCATCACGGGTCTGCCACTGTGAACGAGTGAGGCTGTCAACTGTGTCAGAATGTGCGACCGAGGAGCCAAACACGTGGTCAAACAGGGCAGCAGCAGCAGGGCAGTAGTAGTGGCTTAGCAGCAACAGTAGTGCAGCAACAGCAGTGCAACAACAGTAGCACAGGCGGCAGCAAGGGCAGTGCAGGTGTGTGCGCAGCAGGGCAGGTGCACGCGGGCCTGGCGCAGGCTGTACGGGCTGCGCGCAGGCCTGGCGCGGGCTGTACGGGCTGCGCGCGGGCCTTGCGCGGGTCGTACAGGCTGCACGCGGGCCTGGCGCGGGCTGCACGGGCTGCGCACGGGCCGCGCGCGGGCTGTATGGGCTGCGCGCGGGCAGCGCGCGGGCTGTAATGGCTGCGCGCGGGCTGTGTGTGGGCTGTACGGGCTGCGCGCGGCAGGGCAGGGCATCGCGAAAGCGCTGGGCAGGGCAGGGCAGGGCAGAAAATTCGGGCCGAAAAGAAGCTCACTGGTGGGCCCTTAAAAAAAAAACAGTCCTTAGAAGGACCTGCTCTATGTCATGTCAAGAGATTTACGCGAAAATGAGTGATTGGTTTAGGATGGGGGTACAAACAAGAATGTCGAGGTAGAAACTGTACCCTCTAAGGCTAGCCACTCTACAGCCTACATAACTTAATACACATATGTTTTGACACTATTATCCAAGTTTCTCTTATAAACAGGCTAGCCTCATTATAAGACACCTATTTGTGTGTACGAGTTAAGCTAGTGAAAGGGTTAGGGGCAATTGTATAACGAGGGGGTATCTTCTTAAGATTCTTTGTCCATTTATACAAGATAACCCACCCTAAGGCTCCCCATATACAAGATAACGCACCCATTTTTTCTAGTGTACGAGATAAGACATACCGTATAGTGTACGAGATAAGACTCGGGGGACTCTCTACAAATGCTGGAAAATATGCTTGGGTGAACATTAAGGCGGCAACAATTTTTTAAGACCCAGGGTACACTTATTTATCATTTATCAATCTGTTTTTTAGGGTGTACAGTTCATTTTCGAGCGGGGGGGTCATATATTCATAACGAATTCGCGCGAATTTCGCGCGAGCGACGAATAAGGTCTGTGTCAGTATTCGATTCTGACATAATTGAAGTGTCAAAATTCTAGTCTTACACAAAAACGTGTCAGAATTTGAACTTGTGCCAGTAAAAACTGATGCACACTAGCAATTATAACCTTTGTTTACACAAAAGGGGGGAGTCTTATGATAATTAGGGGCTAAGGGGGGGTCCTCACAAAACCTGCCACAATAAGAGTCCACCTACCCATTCAAGAGTCCCGGGGGACCTTACTGGCGGGTCTTGTCAGAAACTAGGGACAGGAATGAATCAACAAGCAGGAAGTTTGGTACAAGTATGAAACCCTAATGGGGTTGTACCCCATATTGGCTACCCCACTACAGCCTACACATATATAATACATATATCATTTGACACACCTCCATAGGCAAGGTGGGGGAGAGCAAGGGGTCACAAGACCAGTCAAGAAAGGCAAAGCAAGCTCAGGGTATATCACAACGTCACAAAAAAAACTGAGCACAAGGCAAGTTCACATGCTGAGTACAAAGGCGCTGATGATCACGAGACGGAAGTGCCTTGGTGAATATATCAGCAGTATTGGCCCGAGTGGCCACGTGAGCAAGACGAAGCTGACCTTGCTGCTGCAACTCTCGAGCCAGGAAGTAACGCAGAGCGATGTGCTTCGTTCTGTGCTCCAGTCTGTGCTCCTGACACAAGGCAATGGCGGCCTTGTTGTCGACGTACAGAACTGGAGGAGAACGAGGCCTCTCTCCCAAGTCAATCAGCAGGTAGGTGAGCCAGCGTAACTCCTGTGCAGCCATGGCTGTGGCGTAGATCTCAGCCTCATATCAGGAGCTGAGAACAGAAGACGAGCGCGTAGACCGCCAAGAAACAGAGCCAGAGCCAAGGCTGAAGGTGTAACCCTGTGACGACCGCTGTGTAGCCTGGTCGTCAACCCAAGACGCGTCAGAGTGTCCAGTGAGGACAACGTCGCTCCGTCCTCCCAACACGAGCCCCGTGCCCGATGTACTGCACAGGTAGCGCAATACCCTCTTAGCAGCATCTATGTGCACCTTTCGGTGCCGACCAGGAGCCACGTAGCGAGCCAAAAGGCCAAGAGGGTACGCGAGGTCAGGTCGAGTGCAGGTCATCAGGTACACGAGGCAGCCCACTAGCTCTGCGTAAGGACCACTCGGCTCTACGGACTCGTCCGAAGGTGGAGCTGAGAGCAAGTGACATGTAGCAAGAGGAATGGACTGTGGGGAGGACCAGGAGAAGCCGAAGCGCTGAAGGACCTGCTGCACCATGTGTGACTGATGGTGCGGCGTGCTCTGTCCCGGGTGATCTGCAAGCCAAGGTAGCTGCGCAGCTCACCCAGGTCTGTGCACGTGTGTCTCTTCTGCAGCTCCGACTTCACCAGGGCGAGAGCCTCAGTGTCAGCAGTGGCAAAGACCAAGTCGTCAACGTACACGAGGATGTAGAACGGCGGCAGCAAAGTGTCGGTGCGCAGAAACAGCGACGGGTCAGCAGTCGAAGGAGCAAACCCAAGAGCCGCAAGTGTAGTCCTCAGTGTGTCGTGCCACTCACGAGGCGCCTGGCGGAGACCGTAGACTGGCCGCCGGAGGCTCCACTGGGTGCCAGGAGGGAACGACCCAGTGAAGCCAGGTGGGCGGCGCAGCCAGATCTCCTCGTGCAGGCTGCCCTGTAAGAAGGCTGTGCTGAAGTCAAGAGAGTGAAGCTCGTAGTCACGCAGAGCGGCAACGTGCAGCAGCACCCGAAGAGTGGTCATCTTTGGGGTGGGGGAGAAGGTCTGGAAGAAGTCAACTTCCTCACGCTGACTGAAGCCTCTAGCAACGTAACGAGCCTTGAAGACAGGCGGAGAACCCGGCGGCCGCTTCACCCTGAAAATCTACATGTCATTGAGGATGTTCGCCCCAGGAGGGGGAACCTCATCGACGTAAGTGCCTGTGGACTTCCAGGATGCCATCTCTGCGTCCATGGCTGTCTGCCACTGAGAGGGGCAAGCAGCATGGCCATGAGATGAGGCGCAGCGGCTGCAAGACACTCAAGGTCCTCGTGCCTGTCCTCAAGGACGTCCGTGCCAAGAGCACACTCACCCCTGACGGACGGAGGACAGACAGACTCAAACTCAGCAACAAGACTAGCGGCGTAGTCTAGACGATAGGCAGCAGCAAAGTCAACAAGCTCAGCGACTAAGGCAGACGCAGCAGCAGACTCAAACGACGGGTCAGTGACAACCGTGGCTAACAGACGCGTGACCGTAGGGTGTGCGGCACGAAACTGGTCAGACTCATGGTCCGGAACGTCAGGCAGGGAAGACGCAGGAGGAGGCGGCAGAGGAATAGGCTGCGGAGCAGAGGAAGGACGACAGAATCATGTGGTGTGTGCCGGGGACAGCCGGCGGACGCGGACGAGGAACACGACTACCAGTACGACCAGTGCGAACAGCGCGAACAGGCGAGGCAGGACGCAACGCAGGCGCACGACGCGCAACACGACTATCATGCTGCTCAGTGTAAGGAGAAGGAGCAGGCAGCGGTGAGCCAGGCTGTAATGGAAGACCAGTAGACGACGGGAGAGTAAGAACCTGACGAAGTACAGTGTCAGGCGGTGGCAGAGACGACGGAGACGGCGGAGCGAAGAACAGTCGTGGCTCCGTAGTGCCACCAGCACCAGCAGCTCCAGTACCTCCAGCAGCTCCAGCACCTCCAGCAGCTCTTGTACCTACAGCAGCTCCAGCACCTCTAGTAGCTCCAGCACCGCCTGTAGCTCCAGCACCGCCAGCTCCAGCACCTCCAGCGCCAGCACCTCCAGGACTAGCGCCACCAGTAGCAGCACCCCCAGAACCGACACCACCAATCCCAGGGTCTCCAGCCTCAGCGTCTCCAGCAGCAGCACCCCCAGAACCGGCACCTCCAGTCCCAGTGTCTCCAGCAGCAGCACCCCCAGACGCAGCACCTCCAGCCCCAGCAGCTCCAGTACCTCCAGTACGAGTTCCTCCGGGACCAGCTACTCCAGCACCTCCTGTAGACAGGGTACCAGTACCTCTCCCAGCTCTAGCGACGACAGTAGAACCACCTCCAGCGACCGAGCCCCGAACTCCAGCAGCGCGACCCTGATGGCGAGTGTAGCACTCGTGGGGAGAGAGGCGCACGCGGACGAAGGCGGCCACTCCAAGGAGACCGCGCACCAGCAGTCTCAGTACCCTCAGGCGCCGCACCCCCAGGCTAAGTACTCTCAGGCTCAGTACCCCCAGACGCAGCACCCCCAGGCGCAGTACCTCCAGTCTCCTCACGCTCAGGCTCAGCACCTCCAGGCTCAGCACCTTAAGGCTCCTCACGCGCAGGCTCAGTACCTCCAGATTCCGCACCCCTAGGCTCAGCACCGCCAGGCTCCTCACGCTCAGGCTCAGCACCCCCAGACTCCGCACCCCCAGGCTCAGCACCCCCAGGCTCCTCACGCTCAGGCTCCGCACCCTCAGGCTTAGCACCCCCAGAGACAGCACCCCGAGCAGGACCACCCCCAGCAGGACCCAAGTCACTAGTGACCTCAACAGGCGCAGGCACGGGAGGGTCTACCTGAGAAACACCTGAAGGAGCAGGACCTGGCGCGGGGAGGGGGTCTACCTGGGGAGGACCTGGAGCGAGAAAGAGCGGCGGGGGGGGGCGAGAGGCAGTGCGGTAGGGAAAGAGACGGTAAAAGGGGACGGACTCGTCAAAGGTGACGTCCTGAGACGCAAAGACACGGCGCGAGGCGGGGTCGTAAAACTGCCAGCCAGGCGCGTCAGGAGGAAAACCAAGGAAGACGCAGGGAATGGCGCGAGTGGAGAGCTTGTCCGCGGTGGTATCGCGGACAAAGGCACGAGCACCCAGACCCGGAATCGCGACGCATCGCCAACCTCCCCCGTCCACAGCAATGTGGGCGAGGTCTCCGGCAAGGAGACACGGGGCCAGAGGTTGAGCTGATGCGCGGCGTACCGGACCGCAAACGGCCACAGAAAATGGGGAGCCGCTGCATGGATCATGGAGGCACGAGCTGTTGGAATAAGGGCCTAATAAACTCAAGCTATTAGGACTTAATCAAACTTAAAACCTCTCCTCGGGGTCACCTCCAAGGGTCCCTGGGTGCCTGGTACAAGACCAGCCCCTATCCCCGGGTCCGAGTTTGTAGAGAGAGGGATCAAGAAGGACTTAGTCAAAACAGCAAGAGTACCTTGAACGTCGCGCAGCGTGCCGTGCAGACCGTCGATCGGATTAAGCTGAGAATTCGCTATATCGAAGCTCGCTCCAAGAGCTTTAAAATGAGCCAAGTTGCCTCGCGAAAAGTTCTGCCATTACTAAGTTATGGCTCGGACAGCGTTTGCCTAGCGTTTGAGTGCTAGCATACTAGCGTTGACTCGGGTAGCATTCCGCCGTCGAATAGCGCAGAAACGAAATTCCAGCGAGGAAGGAATTCACATGAATCAATTTGACTATATTCAGGTACAAACAGAGAAGGATTAAATAGTTCTAGCTAGCAAGGACCTTGGGAATCAACCTGGGAACAACCAGGGATGATCCCAAATAATTCCAAGCAACAGAACCAACCTGGCTGGACAAAATAGCAGGTGGTAGGTTGGTAAACAACCTCTGGTTCTGTTTTTCCAACCTGGGAAAACAACAACCAGGTTCAGGTTCTAAAAACAGAACCTGTTTTGTCTTTGCCTAACCAGCCAAATGCTGGTTCCGCTGGTTTCCCCTGGCCTTGTAGCATGCAGATACAGACAAACAACATCCAACCTTCACCTAAATTGTACCCCTATAGTGCCTTCCCTGCTACACTATAGTTAACCAAACAAAACAGTACAATTTCGAGTTGGATAGAACTGAATCTGCGCAATCAACTCAACCGAACTGCAAAGCTTCCATCTTGGGTTCCTTTGCGAGCTCGTCCTTTCTGCTTGCACTGTTCATAGCGCGTACAATGTTGTGCCGAAGCGCACATTGCGCGAGTACCTGCAAATGCATCAAGCGAAAAATGCGAAAGCAAACAAATACACGAACACACCATTCACACGCAAATGCATTCGCACACGCATACTCGTACAAACAGACGGCAGGATGTCGTGCAATGTGCATTTGCACCCAACACACTCCCCCTCAGCCTGCCGGCTGCATCCCCGTCATTCCATGCTAGTTCATGCTCATTCCACTCATGCGCACACAACGCCAATAAGGCTCATCCGCAAGCCTCTTGGTGAGAAAGTCTGCTGGCTGCTGGTGAGTCTTGATGTAGATTGGATTCACCGTCCCCCTCTTCACCTCCTTACGCAGCCAGTGCCACTTGATACGCATGTGCTTGTTCAGGCCATGAAGCACAGCGTTCCTGGCCATCCCAAGAGCCCCCTTGCTATCACAAAACAGCGGCGTAGCAACTTTCTGCTCCTGGCCAATCTCCTCTAACAGCCTCCTCAGCCAAATCACCTCCTTCACCCCATGGAACATCGCCATGTACTCTGATTCTACGGAAGAGAGTGCCGTCTCCGTCTGCTTCTTGGACCTCCAACTAACAGGTCCTCCCCCAACTACGCAGATGTATCCTCCCACAGATGAGGAATCCTCCTTCTCAGAAGCCCATGTAGCATCGGTAAAGCAAGTGAGAAATAGCTTGCCTTCTCCAAGCCTCTCCCCCTTCTCTTTCAGCACCTCCACCCCTTTCTGCTTCACCTGTGCAGATGCGGAGTATTGAACTCCAATGCTTGGGTGAGAGTTCAGGTACTTCACCACACGCTCAGCTGCATCCACCTGCTCCTCTGATGGATTCTGCACCACCCTAGCCAGCTGCCCAACCGAGAAAGAGATGTCGGGCCTCGTGTGAACTGCTGCGTACAAGAGGCTGCCCACCAAGGACTGAAATTGCTGCTGCTCCTCAGCTTCAACCCCTTCATCCTCTGCAGCCTTCACAAGCTTGAATTCTGCTGGCAGGGGAGTTGCAACCTTGCGCTCATTCTCAATCCCATACTTCTCCCCCAGCTCCTTGATGAACTTCTCCTGGTGCAGCTTCAACCACCTGTGATCTGGATCCCTCTCCACGTGCATCCCGAGGTAGTACTTTACCTCCCCAAGGTTCTTGCACTTGAAGTTTTCCATCAGTTGCTGCTGCACTTTCTGGATCTCCTTCATGCTGCTGCTGAAGAGAAGAATGTCGTCCACATAGACCAGAAACAGCACGAGTTTCTCCCCCTTGCCCTTGAGAAAGAGGCTCTCATCACAGCTGCTGGTCCTGAATCCCATCTCCTCTAAAACAGCTGCCAACTTCTGGTACCAGCAGCGTGGCGCCTGCTTCAAGCCGTAGATGGACTTGTTGAGCTTGCACACCCTGCCCGTACCATCCTCATACCCAGGCGGCTGCGTCATGTACACATCCTCCTCTAAAATCCCATTCAGGAATGCCGTTGAAATATCCATCTGAATGATGAATTTCCCACTAACAGCTGCATCTGCCAACAAGACACGGAGGGTAGGGGGTTTGGCAGTGGGAGCAAAGATTTCGTTGAAGTCCTGCTTCTCCTTCTGCATAAACCCCTTCGCCACCAGCCTACTCTTGTAGATGGTGACCTGCCCCTTGTCATCGGTCTTGATCCTCAGCACCCACTTGCATTGTATCGCTTTCTTCCCATCAGGCAGCACCACCAGATCCCATGTCCTATTCTCCAGCAGACTCTGGTACTCAGCATCCCTAGAAGCCAGCCACTTGTCCCTATCTGGTCCAGCTAATGCCTCTTCCATGCTAGCTGGTTCCTCTGGTGCAGGGGCAAGAAAACAGTACGCAGGCTCATCCTCCTCATCCGGGTCATAGCCATGAGGTAGAATCAGCAATGCCTCTTCGGTCCCTAGCTGCTGCTCTGCTGCATCAGTTCCTGCAGTCAGCTTCTTAGTAGCCATACGGGTACGTCCTGGCCTGGAGACGGGTGTCTCCCATCCCTTCATAACGACACCCTTCGGCTTCTTAGTTTTTCCCTGCTGCTTCTCTCCTCCCTCGGGTCCAGCAGCTCCACTAGTGCTGCCGCCAGTTTCCACACCATTTTCTCCACCAGCAGATGCCTCCTGTACCTTCTCTCCATCACCATTTCCAGCAGCTGCCTCCTCTCCCTCCTCCCACACACTAGGAGTCAGGTCCAGCTGCATGGTGATCTGCTCCATCTGCTGGGACACCCTTGCCTCCGGCTGTTTCTCCCAGCTCCCATACATCATGCCCTCAATGAATTTCACATCCCTGCTGTCAAACAACACACCCTTGGATGGTTCCCACAGTAGCCATCCCTTGCTCTCAGCAGCCAGCCCCAAATGCACACACCAGATTGCACTCGCCCCCAACTTACTGCGGTAGGTCTTGGGGACGTGGGCGACTGCCATGCAACCGAACACCCTCAGCATGTCCACCGGCGGCTTCCTCCCAAGCCACCTCTCCAACGGCACCCACGAGTCATCCCCAACCTTGGTGAGCACCCTGTTCCTAGCGACAGTGGCGTGCCGGACAGCATGAGGCCACATAGAATTGCTCAGCCCAGATTCTATGAGCAGCGCCCTAGCTGTCTCCAGAATGGTCCGGTTTGCCCGTTCTGCTACACCATTGGACTGTGGGGTATAAGCCGTGGTCAGCTCTCTCTGGATGCCCTGCTTCTTGAGCCAGGCCGTCATTTCAGCTCCAAGGAACTCACCACCCCGGTCTGTCCTAATCCGCTTCACTACACACTCCGCCTGCTTCTCCACGAATGGCAGCCAATCGTCCCGTATCGTGGAGGCGGCGTGGTCCTTCTGCTTCAGCGGATACGCCCACATCAGCCTGCTCCAGTCATCCACAATTGTAAGAAAATACCGCTCCCCCTTGTGCCCTTGCACCGGCAGCGGCCCCACCAAGTCCATGTGGACCAGCTCCAAAGGCTTCTTGCTCCTGCCAGCCACACTATGGAAAGGGAAACGGGTGAACTTTGAAAGCAAACAGATTTCACAGTTGTCATCGGGTGGCTGTCCGTTCAGCTTCAGACCCTTAACGGCTCCATCCTTCTCCAGCTGCTTCAGCAAAGGCATTGCCACATGCCCTAAGCGCCGGTGTGCCGTTGCCCAATCTGTTTCCCCAGATCTGGCCGACACTTTCACACCAACCCCTCCAACGGCATTGCACTCCCCCTGGGATGCAGACCCCTCTCCAGCCTGCCCCCCACCATGCCACGCCAGGGCCGGCAGCTGCCACATAGATCTGTACACGTCCTTGCTCTCGTGCAGATCCCAAAGCACCCGATTTCCCAGCTTCCCCTTATAAGTGCGTGCCCCATCCGTGTTGGTGTTCACCCCAGCCTTGCCAAGCTTACGGAGGGAGATAAGGTTGGCCTTCAGGTCGGGGACGAAGAGAACGTCGTGCAGCACCACCGGCTTGCCATCCGCTCCCTTAAACGCAGCTCGTCCCGCACCAGCCACCTTCAACATGTGTCCAGAGGCGGAGCACACTTCATTGATCGGTGCAGCTCGTACTTCGTCCAGCAGGTCCTTGCGCGGCGTCATCGTCCAAGCAGCGCCTGTGTCCAACACCCAATAGTCTAGGGGGTGCAGCTCTGCTCCAACTTTGGCAGAGGCGTCTCCTTGCTCCCCCTTGTCTCCCACATGGAAGAATTGGCCCGCGGTGCGCTCCTTCTTCTTCTCCGCACCGCCGTTGCCCTTCGGGTTGTTGTCGGACGAATCAGCGACCATGTTGGCGCCGTTTTTCTGGTTCCTCCGCGCGCCGCCATCCTGGTGACGATTCTGGGGGGTCCATCCATCGGGTTTCTTATAGCACAAAAACCAGGGGTGCCCTTCCTTCTCACAATACCAGCAACTCCCTTTCATTTTGCCACCAGCACCCGACTTGCCCCCACGTCCAGATTTCGCACCGCGACCCCAACCGGTACCTCCTTGTTGGTCGTTGGAGTCGTCGTCTTTCTTTGCACCGCGTCCAGCACCACCGAAGCCACGTCCTCTGCCACGTCGGCTCCCTTGCATCCCGTAGCCG